AAAAAAAAAAAGAAAAAAGAAAAGAAAAGAAAAAAAAATCAAAGGAACAAAATCCATCGTCGGTTTTATGCTGAGTTTTTTTTTTTCCTTTTTGTTCTTTTGAGTGGTTTTTTCCCCCATCTTTTTGTTGTTGTTGTTTTTTAAAAGAAAATACAGTGAAGACACTAGAAGAAGGAGAAAAGACAGATCAGGCGCATGTCTGCCTCTGGCCACCCATCCGCCAGACCACCTGCAGTTTCTACGCTCTTGACCTGAGGCTTTGAACGGGACCCTCTTTGGGGCACACAGCGGGTGCTCCATTTTCACAGGAAGAACACAATCTCTCTCCCTCCTCTGTTCTCTTGCTGAGTGGCCACACATCTGCCCCACCCTGCCACGGAAGGACTGGTCCCTGGACCTGAGATCCGACGAAGGTAAGCCCTGTTTTAGGTCCCAGCTCGGTCTCTGGAACGAATTTCCGCAAAGCAAATCGTGCCCAGGGCGTCCTGGTGTGAGGCCAAGCTGGCGGAGCCCCCTGAAAAGTACATACTCCCCGGGGAGCTGGGACCTTCCCCTCACATGCCCCCAAAGAATCTCCACCTCCCCTTCCCCAAGCCAGGCCCCAGAGCAGAGGCCTGCTGTCCACCACCTGAAGATCACACATGGTCATAAACTCCCATCGAGGTTCACGCTGGCCAGAGGGCTTGTGGAGGCCACCAAGCGCCTTCTATTCCAGCACGTAGACTCCTAAGTACTCCTAAGTCCCTATTCTAGTGCTTTGTGTTTAAAAACAGCCCGAGGGCTGGGACAGGCAGGACTAAAGCCCCAGGGGAGGTCAGGGTTTGGATCCGGAGACTCTCTCTGCTAGGAACTGACTTTCCGGACAACTTTAGGGCAAAGAGGCGGGCAGGGGAGGCAGGGTGGGCAGATGGATGACCGGCCTAACGGCAAAGAGTTTTCTGGCAGAAATTAGCTGGTGTGGGCCGGGCCTACTGAAAGCCTGAATCAAGTGGCTTCGAGGTGTTAAATTCTCTTGAGAGCTCTTGGTTTTAGGGGTCCCTGCCACTCCCCGCCGTACCCCACAACATAGACTCGTCTCCTCCTGGGGCCAGGGGCGTTTCTAGACCTGGCTGGGCTGCATCCACAGCAGATATGGACTCACCTAAGCAAATACTGGTCGGATGGCGGTTCCTCCTCACTTCCCGAGATGGTCAAATGGCACGCTTGTCTTTGGGAGGAGAGGCACAGCGGGGGGAGGAGATCAGCTGCTAGTAATGGTAACCTGGCAAATCTCTTCCCATTGTGGAGTTCCATGCACCCCCGGCCCCGGCCCCTGCCCCTGGAGCCAAGGGCAGGGCTGTGTGATCTCAACAACCTTAGGATGTAGCTGCTCTGTAGCCAAGAACATTGCCTAGAGAGGCAAGGCACCAGACTCCCAGCTCGTGGCGCACCGAGCCTCTCCCACGGCAGACAAAAGGACCAGAGCAGGTATCCTGCCCCACTCTGCCAAGACACCTTCCCTGGGCCACCGCGGACTGCCCCTTCCTAACCTTCCCAGTCCAAACATGGTCCTGAGTGAGGCCACCAGACGGGATCTGCCCATCTCTCACTCTTGTGCTGACCCTGACCCGAGGGAGGCTTCCTGATGGCAGGGACCACGAGCCCCTGCTCTGTGAGCTCCCCTGCTGCCCACCCAGGCCGGGCCCCGGTAGTGAAGGCAGGATCCCAGCTCCACCACCTGCTGGGGCGACCTACTTCTCTGAGCCTCAGTCTACTTTGGTCAGTGGGGCTAAGCTGACCTCAGAGTGATTAAAGGAAGCCAAGTCCCTGCTCAACAAAAGGGGCTGCTCCAAGGTTATCGGAGGGGGGAGAACAGAAGCCCGAGCCCGGACTCCCTCCAGGCCAAGGCCCTGTGGCGCAGTGGTGAGGTGCAGGAGGACTGCAGAGAGGGCGGCTCACCTGTGAGGCTGAAATCCGGGAGACCTCTTGCCGCCCAGTGAGGTCGGAGGAGGAGACGTTGGCGGGCGCACCCCTGTGTAGCCTCATGCTCACCTTCCTCTCTCGGTCGACTCGTGAGATCGCTCTGGGAGAAGTATTGCCTAGAGGGTGAGGCGGGGAGAAGCCACCCTCAGTGTCCGGGTCCCTGGGTGCCCCCGGCACCCCCCGGGTCCGGCCCACCACACAAGGTCCCCGCTCACCAGCTTGCTGGATGCGGGAGGCTGGGGTGGAAGCCACAGGCTCGGCAGCAGGGCGGAGCCGGTTGGCGGTGGCCCCCGTGGGCGGGCCAGGGGGCAGGGCCCGGGTGGCGGACCCCCGGAGCTGCCCCATCCTCTCCTCGCGCTCGTGTTCTCGCCGCTCCCGGTCCACGTCCTCGGGGTTCCGGGCTGCGCCCTGTGGGGAGGAGATGAGACTTGGTCAGCCCCTGTGAGCTCAGGGTGCTCTGAGATCCGGCACTCACGCAGGGCAGAGCACAGGGAAGGAGGCCAGGCGGGCACCTGGGGGAGACGCAGCTCAGAAACCCTCTGGTCCAACCTCCTCCCCACCAGGCAGGAAGCCCGAGAAGCCTGGGAATGACCCGCGATCACACAGTACAGAGAAACGAAGCCACACGACCGCCCGGAAGGAGGAGGAAGCTGGGTCTCAGAAGCAGAGGGAGGTCACTCTGCCCTGGTCTCATGGGGCCGAAGCAGAGCCGAGAGGGCTAATGCCCCACAAAGACCAAGGGTACTCCTTGGCCCTCCCAACCTGGGCCCCTACTGTGTTCAGAAGCCCTTGGCCCCTCCAGGTTTCCAAACAGAGCAGAGCAGGTGTTCAGAGACCCAGAGGAGGAGTAACAGGCTAGCTAAAGGCAGGGCCAGCACTTGGACCAGGGCGCCAGCCAGGGGATCTTGTCAAAGGCTCTTCTTCCCCTGTCCCTGGACCTGGCAGTGACTTTTGGCAGGTGCTGTGGGGGAGGCCCAGGGACTCAGATGCTGCCGGCCCTGGGACAAGACAAGAGCTCAGGGGGAGCTCGAGAAAGAACGGGCTAGATGCCCCATAGAAGAAATAGAGGCCCAACAGGCAGGCTGGGGCAGAAGGGGGAACATGAGCCCCCAGGGCCTGCCCTCCAGCTGCTGCCCCCGCCCAGTGCAGGAGGAAAGGAGAAAGGCCCAGAGAAAGGAGCCCGGCATGGGAGCGGCACCCGGCCGCGTTACCTAGTTGGTCCTGGGGTCGTCCACAGGGAAGGGCAGGGGGCTGGCAGGAGGGGGGCCGCATCTGTGGAGAAGAGAGCTGCAGGCTGAGTGGGGGGGCCTGCTCACAGGCCACGGGGTGCAGGCTCCTGCAACCCTGTGTCTCTCCCAGGGAAACGGCCGAGAAGGCCCTGCTGTCCTTGGGAAATGACGGCTGGGGATGGCCGCGGCCTTGAAGCAACTCCAAGAGGTAGGGACTAGGGATCAGAATGATCCCTGAATCCCAGTGAGGAACTGAGGCCCAAGGAGTCCTCATGACCTACGTGGGGTCACAGCTCAGGGTAGAGCCGGGATCTGAATCCAGGCCTCTGCCACCCGGCTCTGCTCTGCGCTCTGCACCCCAGAGGACTTTGTAGGACATTTTGGGGATGCGCATGCCCAGCCCGCCCGCCCACAGGCCGGTGCAGGCAGGCCTGGAACCACCAGGGTTCAACCTCCTGACTCCCAGTCTCCACCCCCTCTCCACTCCCGGGCTCCTGCCCACTCAGTGACAAGCTGGCTGAGAGCAACTCAGCCAGAACGAGAGCAAGCCTGTGAGAAGAGCCGCAGCTCCGCTCAGGAAACCTCCTGAGGGCAGGCCAGGGATGTGTTCATCCCCTGCCTGGGGGAACTGAGGCTGATGAAGTCAAGTGGTCCCTTCAGAGGGGCACAGCCTTGGGGCGACCGACTGAGCAGAGGGCTGGAGACCCTGCCCTTTGTGACCCCAGCAGTCTCGGGTCAAGGCCAGGCCCGAAGCAGGAGGAGCTATTCTCCACGTTTCCACCTAACCAGTGATGCCTCAAGAAATGCACACCGGGGAGGTTTCTTGGCTTTTATTTGCCCACAGAAAACACAAAAGGTCAACATCAAAGTCACACAAGCATCCAGCCCTGTCGTGTGGACCCCTGTCCTTGGCTATATGGAGTATCCTCCTGGCCTGCTGGTTGGACCTTGGAACACAGCGGCTCTGTGTGCTGAGAGCAATGTCCCAGGCTCCAGGTATCCAGGGACTCCAGGGCCCTGATGCTGAACGGGGCGGCCACTTCAGGGAGAGAAGCTCTCAGTCAAGGGTAAGATCCTTCCCGTGGCCCTCTGTGCCCAGCACGGTGTCCAGTCTGCAGGTAGGTGCTGGTAACGGCACCGGGGGGCCTGGCCTTGAGGCGAAGGCATGGAAGGTCCCCGTCACAGGTCTGCAGATGCTTCCGCCAAAGGGCAGGTGAAGACGGTCACGGTGACGGGGTCAAAGGCGCCCGCTGATCCAGCCCAGGCCAAGTCAGAGATCGGTGCAGAGTAAGGCTGCTGGCACCTCTGCTCAGCTTCCGACTCGAGAGCTTGCCTCTAAAGGGACCCCAGGAAGGGCTCAGAGTGGCAGCAGTGAGCGGGGAGGGTGCTCTTGGCCTGGCTTGACGTGAGATGTTGCCAGCCAGATGGTCCCACGAGAGGTTCTGCGAGGAGCCATCTAGAGCAGAGCTTTCTGGGATGACGGAAAGGTTCACGTCTACCTTGCTGGATATGGTAGCCACTGACCAGCCGCTTGTGGCTCCTGAGGGCTTGAAATGTAGCAAATGCAACTGAGGGACTACATTTTCAGCTTTCGTTTTAATTCATTAAAAATCAGCCACACGGAGCCAGGGGCTACCATACTGCCTGGCACAAGCCTAGACAACGTAAAACCCGTTCTTGGAGCTGCACGGAGAGGAAGGGCCGAGCCCATCCCCGAACCAGACCCAGGAATGACTTTCCACAAAGATGAGTGAGCGCCCAGCGGCCAGATGCCTTGAGCAACGCCCTCCGGCGAGAAGAGCCGGCCCTCGGCCACACTCCCGGCTGCGAGGTCTGGGTTGTAAGGTGCCCCACTGCCCATCTCCCACCCCTACCCCTCGGGTCCCTTGGCCTGTGAGACCGCTGTTCTCTGCCCGACCTCTGTCGAACTCCTCAGGGAACGGTGCCAGGCCACTGCCTGAGACCCAGAGAGAAGAGGGGCGCGAGACCCAGTGCCGACCCCAGCGTCCAAGAGAATAAGGCCTCGCGTCCTGAGCGTCTGGCAGAGCGAGCCGAGGGGATCCGCCACGAAAGGACAGGCACACCAGGATGGAGCGCAGTACAGGTGGGGGGCGTTTAATGAGTTCAGGTTCGATACAGAGGCCACCGTCAGGGTCTTGCTGAAGCCGCTCCCGGCGCCCGTTCCCACCAGGCCCTCCGGGGCGGGTGAACATCATCCCTCCTTCAGGCTCTGTTCGTCAGGCAGCTGCTGATTCATCCCCAAGAAGCTCCCGGCAGGGCCTTCTCCACCACCCCCTCTCCACCGCACCCCACCACGCCAAGGGACACCTCCTCAGGCCTGGCCCCGATGGGCTCAGACACACCTGGTGACGTCAGAACTGGGGCCCCGGAGTCCAGACCACGGGCCAGTAGTTTTGGGGGGGCAGCTCCTCCACCTCCTCCACGGGCCTATCTGGAGGGCCCTGGGTGCCCAGGGGCGCCGGGCACCTGGAAGGGACAGAGAGCACAGCAGAGGCTCAACCTCTTGTGCTTGCCCAGCCAAGCGGTAAATCTTGGAAAGGCCAGGCCTCAGAGGGTCCTTACCAGTAAGAGGGTGGGTACGTGGGCCCGGCACAGGGACAGGGGCGGGGGCAGGGCAGTGCAATAGCTTCGCTGTCACGGGGCTGAGCCTGGCTCGAGGAAGCCCCCTTTTCCAGAAGAGATGTGAAACAAGACACACAATTTCACAGATTCCGGAGCTCCGGGGCATGGCTGGCGCACGCTTCTCCCCACCCTACCCCCAAGACCCTTAAGAGAGGGAGACAGAGCAACCGCCTAGCAACACCCAGGGTCCCATGACCAGGAAGAAAGAAACCACAATGAATGGGTCCAGGCTGGCCAGAGGGGCCACGGTGAAGGCAGCCGCCTGGGACGTGCAGAACAAGAGCAGGGTGGTGTAGGCGACAATGAGGACAGCGGGGGGGCCCGCCAGCGCCACCCACGCCCCACCGAGAGCACCCAGGAGGGACTCGAGGCCCAGCCAGGTCCTCTTGGGTCTGGTGGGAGGTGGAGCCCTGCCCGGGCCCTGCTGACCACAGCGGCACGTGCTGTCAGCACAGATGAGGCCGGAGCGGGGGGGCCGCGGGGACTCCAGGACCCCAGCGAGGTCGCTTGCGCTGTCCAGCTCATAGCTCCCGTTTTTCGGGAGCCCCGCCCGCCACTGGGTCACTTTGGCCTCGTGAGTCAGGGCCTTCCCCGTCCAGTCCCCCAAGCCCGCCTTGGCCTCCACGTGACTCACGAATTTGAGCATGTTCCAGTCGAAGACGTAGTCGTAGGAGAAGCCCTGCCTGTGGAAGAGGTTGCGGAAGAGCTGGCGCAGGTAGGAGTAGTCGGGCTTGTCGTCGAACCGCAGCGAGCGGCAGAAGTTGAGGTATGTTGAGAACTCGGCTGGCGGGGGTCACAAGGCACAGAAACGGTGAGGCCCGGGCTCCCGGGCGGCCCAGCAGCCTGTGTCATCCCACCCACCCCCCGTCCCCACAAATACTTTCAACCTAAGGCGGGGGGGGGGGGGGGGGGGGGGGGGGGGACAAGATGGCGCCAGAGCAGAACTCCGGGCGTCCGGGTGGCACTAAGACCCGTCCCTGCCCGCGGGCAGAGCCTCCGAAGACCGAGGAGGCGTGTGTTAGGGGCGAGCGTCCCCCCGCGGTGAGCAGGCCCCACAGCGCCTTATGTCACCGTTCTACCTGCTCCTGCCGACCATTCTGGGAGCCTTGCAGATAGCAGATCAAGAGCTGTCAAGCCCAACGGACAGCCAAGAGCCCAATCAATGGGAACTCCCAACGTGCGCTAAGCCACAGGGGGAAAACTTCCATCTCCTCCTGCCCACAGCAGGGGTGGGGAGAGCCCCTCGTGAGAGAACAGAAAACATAACGTACACTGGGCTCTGCCCCCGGTTCCTGGCACAGAATTCCTAAAACCCCGGGGAAGCCCTAAACGCTAAGAGCACTAGGAGAATCTTCTGTTCCGGATGAGGCGACTCTGGGCGGGCTCCCGGCGGCTCCTGGATGGATGGGAGCTGGTCACCAGGAAGACCAAGCCACGATTAGAAAGCTTAGAATTTTCACGCCCCATCTCCCCAAACGCTTCTCTAGAAGGGAGGGGGCTGGAAACGGAGTCAGGGACTGTTTATGCCTACGTGAGGAAGCCTCCGTAAAAACCCCAACGGTGTGGGGTCTGGGCAGCTTCCAGTTGGACGCATCCACATACAGGAGGGTGACACACGTTGACTCCCTGGGGACAGAAGCCCCTGTGCTCGGGCCCCTCCCACACCTCGTCCTATGAACCCCTTCCTCTGACTGTTCGTCCACACCTTTCAGCACAGCCTTTAATAAAGTGGGAGACGAGGTAAGTTTCCCGGGCTCCTACGAGCCGCCCTAGCAAATTAATCCCAGCCGAAGAGCAGGGCGTGGGAACCTCAGACACACGGCGCAGGTGGCAACCTGGACTTGTCAGTGGCATCTGAGGTGGGAGGAGGAGGACAGCCCGTGGGATCAAGCCCTGAACCTCCAGGCGGACGGCGGCCGAATGGAGCTACACTAGAGGACACCCAGCTGGTGTCGCACAGAACTGCTCGAGGGGCGGGTAACACCCCACACGTTTGGGGAGAAGCGTCAGAAGGGACATGTTCTATGCGGGTAGCCAAGGAGGCTCCCGGGGTAAGGCCGAACTAGCTTTTCCTAACACGCAGCCCTTGCGAGAAGAGGCCGGGGAGGAGGCCCGAGCAGCGACAGAGCGCATGCGATTAACGGTTCTGGCGCGGGGGGGCAGCAGCGGTCCGGTGTGGGCTGCGTGGCCTTGTCTTCCCCTCCGAGAAGCCTTCGGGGGTCCCCAGGCTGGCCGCCTCCCCACCTGGGCTACTCACAGGGGTAGCCTTTGCAGAGGACCTCGATGGGCGTCGACATCTTCTTCTCGCTGATGCGCTCGTACTTCTGGCGCTTGGTGGCCGCTTTGAGGCCCTGCCAGGGCAGGGAGCCCAGGTTGAAGTACATGAGCACGTAGCCCAGACTCTCCAGGTCGTCTCGACGGCTTTGCTCTGCATGGAATCGAGGACGGGGTGAGGGGCAGGGTCCGCCTGGGCCGGGATCCCCTCCCCTCCAGGACACCCTCCTCAACGGGGGGGCACCGCCCCTGCACCCCCTCACGCGCACTTGCTGCAACCCCAACACAAACAGGTGCAGGTTATTAACGCTTCTGCAGAAAAGGGCAGTTTGGGGGCGCATCTGGCTTCGGCTCGGGCCATGATCTCGCGGTTCATGGTCTGAGCTCTCTGCTGTTGGCACGCAGCCTGCTTCAGATCCTTTGTCTCCCTCTCTCTCTCTGTCCCTCCCCAACTCATGCACATTGCCCCCCAACCCAAATAAACATTAAAAA